GATGGGTAGCGGTTATAAACACAAACACACATCGGCTCATTTTTACAGGTAACAGCTTTTATTTGCACACTGAAGTAATAAAATAAAATGGTTTATGGTTTATATAAAATGCAAAGGTATAATTCTCCAGATGTTTAATAATGCAGATATAGATAAGTTAAAGTAAAAGGTTAAGTGTAATTATGATGCTGTCAGTTTTGCTGCCATCTTTTGGTATAATTGAGTCATTACATGAGGATGGGACGATTGCCCTCATCTTTTAACTGCTTGTTCTCTTCTGCCACCTGCTGGTCTTTACTGATTACTGCAGGGAGTTCTGCAAACATCAGCTTTCTGTTTATTCTAGGGTTTGTCCAAAGTGCGGCCTGCGGGCCATTTGCTGCCCATAGAATGATTTTATGCAGTTCCTAAAGATAACTGAAGATTTACACCTGTACCAACACATGTGGTCAATGTTTATTAACTTTATTATTTTAATTTATTACAGACAAATTACAACATTTCTAAAATTAGAAATAGTTGGGTACAGCAAAGTATTTTAATAAACATTAAGGCGTTCTCATTCATTTCATAATAACTGCAGGATAAACAGAGATCCAAATGTTTCCCCTCAGACTGACAGGAAGAAACATATGGAAACACTGATGAGTCGAAACTCATGCAGAGATTTTATGGCTCTATTATAGGCAGAAGCCACATAGTATATGTAATTATAGGGTCTGATTTATGGAAATCATCGGGATTGAATGAAGACTTGGATTAGTAAGCTGATTACTGTGTGATCTCTTTTTTATTTGTTTACTCTGTGTCAACTCTTTATTTCTAAAAAAATATATATAGAAGGAGATCTTAAAACCACTTAGTAAGTTGGTCTGACTTTGATGTTAATGTTAAACCTCATTCTCATCTCCTTCTGTCTAACTCCATTTTCTTCAATACTCATAAACCCTCTTTATGAAACGTAAGCAGCCGACTGGTGTGATTATAACAAACAGCAACAGAATATAAACAACAGTATCGTCAAGAGTTGTTGAACATTACAAACTCTAAAAATATCATCTGAAGGACATGGAGAACATCACAGCTGTGTGTAGAATGACCTTAATGTCCTGACTGAACAATCCTGTTGTGCAAACATTAAAATCACTTTCTCAAAGCGTCAAAATGATTTTACTGATCCACTACCAATATAGACAGAGAAACAAGACAACTTTAGCTCCGTGTTGCTGCTTGTTGCACAAGACAGAGCCATAAATAAAGTGTTACCAAAATATGACTAAATAAGGTGTTGAAACATCTCAAGAGAAGCTCAGTGATGATATACAGAAGTGGAAAGTTCTTCTACATGATAAGCTAGTCATCTTTTTACTTGTATCTCCATCATTTAAGTATTAAACAAGCATCGGTGTGAAGTGCTTGGTCATCATAAACATCGGTTTTGTTTTTTAAAACAAGAACTTCCACCACATCAGTGAAACATGACAAAGCACATATGTAAAAAAAATAATTTTTTTTTTGTTTACAAAGTAAACTTTTTGGTTATTTACAATGTAGATATTTTATAATCTTTCGTCAAGAGTAAACGGTTCATTAAAAACACTCATTTTGTGGAAAAGCAAGCTGTCAAAATCCCCCTTCAACTATAAGTTCCAGTTGCCTTTCTCTAGAGAAAAATGAATACAAAACAATAAACAATAAACAAATTCCTACTAAAAAAGACCATTTATTTTCAATTTATAAAAAAGATTAATTCTTTGAAACGTCATTAAACAGCTGGTTAAACTGACCCGATCACATTATGCCTTACTTGGTATTGAAAAAGAGGAACGTGTCGGGCAGCAGATAGAGGAATCTACTTAAAGCTTATATTCTGACGTTTCCTCTCTGCACAATCAGTCTGGCTGCTCAGCTGCTCCCTACAACATCAGATTGTTTCCATTTATCAGCATCTATCACCTGCATGATGAGGGTCCTCCATTTTTCAGCAGCCATGTTTGCCATGATGGTCCTGACTTCTGCCCTTGGTGAGTTTTCTAAAAGTTTTTTGTTCTTATCACATCCTAACCTATTTTATAGTATTTTAATGTTCTATAGCCAACATTTATTAACCTACAAATATCATGAAACACCAACAAAGTTCTTAATTCACTGCAAACTGAACCATTTCTTAAAAATAACTTTGAAACTTGCAGTAAATTTGTACGTAAACAGTACAGTATTTATAATATTCTCTCTAACTTTCCGGTTCTTCCAGAAACAAAGTCGGATGATGATAAAACAGGTCAGTGGAAATAATGAACTTTTCATCTTTTTAAAAAACATTTACACATAATAGCTGCACGGCTAAGTAAAATTATTTTTGCTTCATCTGTCTTGAGAAATATTCCTTAATATATGATATCCTATTGGTCTTAAGTTACAATATTTTGTAATTTATAGTAGGGGTGTTGTAAGGAAATATTTTAGTAATCGAGTAATCTATCGATTATTCTTACGATTAACCGAGTAATTGTATAAAAAAAGATCAAATAAAACACTGGTAAATCTAAGATAACAGCAGGAAAACTATTGGATATCAACATCAGTCCAATTTTTCACATTTGAGCTTCCCTAACAACTTTTCTGTAGTTTAGAAAA